CGTCCTAGGTACGAAACAATGATGGTTTTCTTGGGATTGCCAATAGTTGGTAGAAAACAACAAAAAGTGCACAAGTTAATTTGTGACTAAGCGTGGAAAGACAGGTGTCGAATGGCGTTTCAAAGAATGCCTTTTTCTTTCAGAGTCGAAATAAGGCATTCTTGGGGGGCAATTTGTTGGCTCCTAAATTCGACACCTTTGTTTTGTTGATGTCAGCCATTAAAGCTGAAGGATGTCTTCGACTGGCTAAGTCTGTCGAAATGCCCGTCGAAAGATGGCTAAGTACTTAGAAGATTTCTTCCAAGGAAGAAGGCTGGTTGCCTTCGACGTCGAAGGAGTTTCTCGTCGAAGATGTCTCTTGACGAAAGTGTTCGATGGTTCAGAGTGGAGCAGTTTGAAATTCAAGCTTTTGGAGGGAAAACGGTTTCCAGCAGTTACTACGTGCAAACGTGCAAGGATCTGGAGCGTCGAACGTGGAGAACGTGCCAAGTGGATTGATCTCGAAGCAGTGTAACTGCCCGACGGTTACTTGGGATGTTTTAGTATAAATAGTAGTAGACATGTAGTTTCTCGCGTGTGTTCACAATTCTATACAAAGTCACTCATATAGATTCGAGTACCCAGCGTGTGAGAAAGAATTGTTGAGAAATGTATGTGTGAAACACCAATTTTATTAATCAAAGTCATTTACTTTTTCCAGAAATTTACTTGCTTTCTCCTTTACATTCTTGTCGAACCTTTTACTTTAAAGCCTTGTTTATTTTACCAAGTCTTTCCTTCATGCAATTTATTTAAAACCTCTTTATTTAAAGCCTTATCCAATTCAATCAAACTTCAAAATCAACCTATGTCCTAGGATCAATCTGATCGATCCTGCGAGTAACCAAATAAGTAACCATTTGGAGGATCAGCGGTTGTTTACCAAAACCCAAGGTAAACAAATTGGCACACCCGGTGGGACTGTGTGTTGATTGTTGAAAATAATCTCATCTTTTCAAGTTGTATGTTATTGAGAAGTGGTAGAATATACACTAACGATAACAATACTGCTAGAAGAAGGGAAGAGATGGCGAATCCGCCAAACAATAACGAAATCCCACAAACAACTGTGGGAGCAACGGTTAGTACGACCGTAAGTGAAGCGACAAACGTTGGTTCGACACCAGCAGTATCGGTCACAACCACTAATCAGGCTTCTCACATGACTTCTCAGGCTTCACAATCTTCGAAATACCATGTACAAGCTTCTTAGAACATAGATGCCCTAAGCTTATATAGTTCAAATGCCCCAACCTTTTATGCCACAGCTTACTGTTACCTTCAGCGCCTTCTGCACTAAGACACATTGCTTTAGTTGTTTCTACATTTACCTTGAATGTTCTGTTGCCTCCTTGTTCAGACTTCATAATCAACTTCTGATTGGAATCATACAACGTTAGAATATTATTTTTCATAACAACTGAGAAACCTTTCTCAATCAACTGACCTACGCTCATCATATTGCTTCTAATACTAGAAACATACCAAATGTCTCTGATCAGAATGTCTTTCCCATTCTTCACTCTAACTCTGACATCTCCCATACCTTCTGCATTAAGATGCTTATCCTCAGTACATCTGATATTTGTTCTCCTTCTGGAGTCAAAGTCTGTCAGCCATTGTTTGTTTCCAGTTAAATGATTTGAACAGCCAGTGTCCATATACCACTAATCTTCTGAGCATTTTCCATCAGAATCAGAGGCCATTAGTAGTACAGGTTCATCATCAGAGTTTCTCTTAGCCATATATGCTTCTTCTGATTTCCTTTCCTTGTTTGACCTACAATCTCTGGCAAAATGGCCAAATTGTTTACAAGAGTAACATTGAACCTTCCTTTTGTCATACCTCTCCTTTCCTTTATGATATTTCTTATCATCAGAAGTTGAGGCTTCTGACTTTTGGAATCTATCACCACGTTTATTCTGCTTCTGGTCTTTCTTGACAAAAGAAGCCTTCAGAGCTTGCTCAACTTCCCTATCAGAAGTTCTCTCAGACAGGCGTAACTCCTGTGCTTCTAAGCTGCTTTGTAATTCTTCTATTCTCATGGTTTTCCAGATCTTTAGAATATTCAATAGAAACAACAATGTAATCAAACTGAGGAGTAAGCGACCTTATAATCTTATCTATGATTACCTGTTCAGACAAAGTTTCTCCACATGCCTTCATCTCGTTAGTGATCATAATCACTCTGGAGATATATTCAGAAACTTTCTCACTGCTCTTCATGTTCAGGTTCTCATATTGATTTCGTAGGGATTGAAGCTTCACCTTCTTTACTGATGCGTCACCACCATAACATCTCACCAGTAAATCCCATACCCCTTTTGACGTTGTTGAATTAGCAATCTTCTCGAACACACTTTCATCCACACACTGATTGATATAGAACAGAGCTTTCTGGTCCCTCTTCCTCATCATCCTCTCAGCAGTTCTCTGTTCTTCAGTTGCATCTGCTGCAGCTGGTACACAACCATCTTTAACCAGATCCAGAACATCTTGCGCACCAAACAGCACACACATTTATATCATCCATCTGTTCCAGTTTTTGCCATTAAAAACTAGAAGTTTGATGTTCAAACTACTGCCTCCATTCATTTTAAACTTTGCACAGATTTTTCAGATCTTCAAACACACTGTTTCCCAATCCACAGAATCAGATTCTGTTCAGATTTTGTTCAATATTTCAACAGAAAATCAATGAACCAAAATCAAACACACAGCTCACAAACACTCGTGTTTCCCAGGAAAATAGAACCAAGTGCTCTTGATACCAATTTGTTGGTGCAAGGTAATGAAAGGGAGAAGAAGAATGAACAATGAATGATAACAAAGAGGACTACTATTGTATGTCAAATAGAGAAATGAATGAGTTACAATATTGATAGCCTAGGTAGCATATTTATACTAAAATTGAAAATACCAAAAGGCCCTATTAAAGAATAAGCATTGGGAATTGTAGACATTAACTAAATTATATTTCCAATAGTAAACAAATCAATTCTTAAAAGAAGAAGAAAATTTCAGAAATTTTACCTTGTGAAATGAAATCTGATTATCAGGGTAAAACATATTCAAAAACCCACCTTTGAAAAACATAAATAATGAAATAGATTAATAAGAAACAATTGTAACAATGAACAAATCGATTCACTTAAGAATAAAATAAAATCTTACCTTTTCAAGAGAAAAATCTCAAATGATTGTAATACCTATTAAAAAATCGACATGGACAAAAAAATAACGAAATTGAGGAGGGACGGTAGAAGAGAGAGGTAATATTTAGGATTAAGGGAAAGGAAAAGAAACAAATTGAATTTGGAAAATCAAAACTGAAAACTCATCACTGATAATATTTGGATGAACATATGAACCAAACGACAATGAAATCAAATGATATTACAAATAGAGAAGGACTGAATGAACACTAAAGCGGTGAAAAATATAACTAAAAAAAATCAGAGGATGTGAAGAATTTTTGCAAAGGATCTGAAATTTTTTGCAAAGATATGAAGAGACAACAAATATGAAGGAAATCAAATTATTAGGGTCGAAACTCGAAATAAATAAACTGAAAAATGAAGAAAAACTTACGTTTCCAATTATGGGTATCCGAAAAGATTATAGTGTGCAGTAGTGAAATCAAATAATGAATATGCACTTAATAATATTAATAAATCAGAGTTTTAGGTTAGTTAATGCTTATATGTTGTAATTACATTAAGAGATATGAAAAACATTCTCTAAACTGTTTTAGTTAGGTTAATGAGATAAGTTTGATGGTAACTAGTTTTTACCTAATGGATCCAAACATGAATCAAAATTTTTAACTTAATTTCATTAAAATTAATTTAATCAAATTCAATTATATTAAAATCAATTATATACACCACAAATCTAAAGAGATACAAGGTGATCCCACGAGTATCCACTTAAAATTGAGAATGAACGGACTATTTTAGAATTAAATATTTTTATATTATTGACACTAGCGTTCAAAAGGACACTCCCTTACCGTTTTGTCTATTTTTTTTTAATTCACTCACGCATCAAAATATAAACAAATATTTTTGTGAAAACTTTGTAATATGCACCTATGTGACCAATTGGCACAATCTTTTTAGGTCACACATACAAAAAAATATATATCTCTTGCTCTCTCTCATCCCCTATCTCCCTCCATCCCTCCCTCCCCCTTTCTACTAAAAATACTCTTTCCTCTCTTCATATTCTCTTTCTCTCTTCTTCCCCTCATCCTCTCTCTCTATCTCTCTGGTGCATAAGGTTATATGTCAATGTATGATATATTTCAGCAAGAGTAAAAAAATGTGTTTATTGATATTGAAAATTTGTAGTTATCAAATGAGAAGTTATTGCCTCACTTTGACTCAATTTGTAACATTATCAACATTTTCGGTCATTATAAATAAAGAGAAAAAGGGAAGTATAGAAAGAAAACAATAAAGTAACTAGATAGGGGAGTTCCCCTGTAATTATGAAATTTTATTATTAGTCACATTAAAAATAATAGAGAAAAGAGGTGATGCATTGATAGTATAAATTAATTGATTTTTATGTGTGACAATTTTATAAACGGGATTAATTGTTTGAAATTATGATGAATATGTTTTATGTTCTATAATTTCTTGTTTCAAAACAATTAAAAGATCACTAATCATAATCAAAATTCAATTGAATAAAGAAAAGCATAGAGTAGAAAAAAGAGATTAAAATGACTTGGAAAGAGACAGAAAGAAAAAAGTAATAGATGATGGTTTGAATGATGAATAAAATTTTAGTAGCAAGCAATGTACGTGTAGTTAGGTGTTGAAGTAGCTAGTCAACACTAATGAATTGTTTTTTAATAGTAAAAACAAGTGAATGTAATCTATAATCGCAGGTTAAGTGAATGGTTGGTTGGTATAAAATCCTCTTCCGTCCCTTTCATTCACATAGATTGAAGCATGTCTAACACCAAAACTCACATCCTTGTTTTCCCATACCCAGCACAAGGCCACATGCTTCCACTCCTGGATCTCACCCACCAATTATCTCTTCAAAACACATTCACCATAACCATCATCATCACTCCCAATAATTTATCAATTCTAAACCCACTCTTATCAACTCATCCAAACACCATCCAAACGCTCATTCTCCCTTTCCCTTCACACCCCAATATACCTCCCGGTGCAGAAAACATCCGTCATGTCGGCAACACCGGAAACTATCCTTTCATCAACGCTCTTTCCAATCTCCAAACCCCAATTATCCTATGGTTTAACGCTCATCCTAACCCCCCTGTTGCTCTCATCTCCGATTTCTTTCTTGGCTGGACTCAACAACTCGCCACCAGACTCAGTATTCCAAGAGTCGTTTTTTATTCCAGTAGCGCGTTCTTGGTTGCTGTTATCAACTTCTGTTGGAGTAACCTACTGCTCTTACAGTCCAAGGAGGTCGTTGAATTCCCCGAATTACCTGGAAAACCGTCTTTTAAGTATGAACACCTTCCTAGCATAGTCCTCAGGTACAGAGAATCGGACCTGGAGTCTGAGTTCGTAAGGGAGAGTTTCATTTCCAATGCTGCAAGCTGGGGATCAGTTATAAGCACATGCAAAGCTTTGGATGGTCGTTATTTGGATTATATTCGGAGACAGTTCGGTAACAGTGGAGTTTACGCTGTTAGCCCATTGGGTTCTATTCGGGGTGATGGTTCTGACGTGTTAGGGTGGCTTGATCAGTTGGAGGAGGAAGGTTCGGTTTTGTACGTTTGTTTTGGGAGTCAGAAGATAATGAAAAGGGAACAAATGGAGGCGTTGGCGTTCGGGTTGGAGAGATCCGGGACTAAATTTGTTTGGGTTGTAAAGGCGCCGTCGACGGTGGAGCAAATAGCGGACGGCTATGGGTTGGTGCCGGAAGGGTTTGAGGAAAGAGTTTCGGGTAGGGGGATTGTGGTGAGGGGTTGGGCTCCGCAGATGGCGATATTGGGTCATCGGGTTGTGGGAGGGTTCTTGAGTCATTGTGGGTGGAATTCGGTGTTGGAAGCGGTGGCTACGGGGGTTGGGATTCTTGGGTGGCCGATGGAGGCTGATCAGTTTGTGAATGCAAAGCTGTTAGTGGAGGATAAGGGAGTGGCAGTGAGAGTTTGTGAGGGGGCAGATTCGGTACCCAACCCGGACGAGTTGGGTCGGGTGATATCCGAGGTTATGAGTGGGGATAGTAGCCAAAAGAGAAGAGCTAAGTTGATGAAAGAGGAAGCACTTGGTGTTTCATCTAATGAGTTGAATGAATTTGTCAAAGCCTTGAAGAAGCTTGGTGTTAAAGAAGGAGCATAACATACATGTTATGCTCAATTCTTTGTAATCTCTTCTACTTAAGATTTGTTTATGGATCATGAATATCTTAATTAGAATATTTTCACACAAGTTTTTTTAATTATCCTTTGACATATTATTTAAATAAAACGTTTCATGAGATGTACACACCTTGAAAGAAAAAGAATAAGAATGCAAGTTAATACTCAACTCCTTTTGGCTGAGATTTATGATGGTATCTTGTGTTGCCTGTCACTATGTTGAGATTAAGGAATTAAGTCGGTTCAATTTAGATCTCCTTATCCTTATTTAAAGAGGTGTTCTTTAGGAGTTAGTGTGAAATTTAGTGAACTTGGTAGAGAACTTAACAGAGATTAGTATAGAAGTCAGTCTTCTCATAAACTAAGTCTAAAAACCTAGTTACAATTTAATTTTTTGGTCACGATTCGGATCATGGGTTACACACTTTGGATATTAGTCATATGTTTTTGAATGTAATGGATCGAGCTAATGGTAAAAATATGTCATTCCATATCCTTCAATCATGAAGTTTGCAATAACGAAATACTTGAGACAAAAATCTAAGATAAAGAAATATAAGTCTATAATGTGCCTTTTTTGTTTATAGTAGTGATCGGAGGGAGTACCTTTTTATTGCATAAGGTGTGTTTTATATATTACGGGTGACAATTGGGCTTATTTAATTTTGGGTTTGTCACGTGCGCATAATAGTTGTCCTCGTGGTTTAGTGTGGTGTGATGTACAAAAAAGTCTTTTAAGGAACTAAGTCGAATATCCTTAGTCGGAATTTTGTGTTGAGAAGTGAAAAAGGTTTGAGGACAACTGCATTAAACGTTAAATACATTATTGAGACGTTTCACAGATTTCTCTTCACACGAGGCCCTAGTTCATAGGTTAGGGCGTGAAACTTATCCCTAGAATGCTCGAGTATACTCAAATACCGTTATATTTTTTAGGTGAAATTTAACCTTTATTTTTTCTTCTTCTCATGCTCTTTTATTTTGCATCGATGATTTACCCATCATGCCTCATTATATAAATGTTGCCTTAGTCTTTCAAACAATTTTCATCCCCTCTCCTAACCGAGACATATGTTTCTTCGCAAACCTTTGCTTCTTTTTCCAAAATTGATTGATCTTTGATTTTGCTACATTATCTTTCTATTTGAGTCTATTGTTCTTGATTCATCCTCATTTTTAAATTTCTTTTGCTTTCAATTGTTTCTTCCCCCCGCTTCTTTACTCATATATCATTTCTAACCCTCTTTTCTTAGAGTTGTTGCTTTACTTTCTTATATTTACTACTATGGAAAATACAGAAAATATGCCTAAGAACATGATGAATGAACCTATTAATGGATATTATTCATTAACAGTAATACATGAAAATCTAAATTTCCCAATATTGAAAATCGGGTTTCCCGTCAACGAGTTTAAGGAAGGGATGTTCAGGCGCATGAAGATTACACATTCCTAGCTACACCCAATATCGAACACTTGGCGCGTGATTAATTTTTCAGAATTTTCTTTGAGATTTATTGATATGAAAAATCACTTACAATTAAAGTGATTATAAACTAATCAACAAATCAATTTAAACTTTAACAATCAATGAAAAATCCTATACGAATCGATCGATCAAATAACACATTCAATAAATTGCATATAGAAAGTAAATGAGAATAAGAGATATAGATAGAGAGAGAGAGAGAGAGAGAGAGCAATACAAGGATTTGATTAGGAAGTTCACCAATCGTCTTTGCTATGGCTACGTCTTCCTCAATTCCGTTTTGGAATTGAGATAAATTTCTTACTTTGCAAAAAGTCGATTAAAAGAGAAGTGTTCCAAGAACATGACAAACGCTAACTTTTTGTTGTTGATCCAACTCTTTCTCTTCTTTTAAACTTCAATAAGACCAAGACACAATAAATCCCAATTGATTTAGCGAATCTTGCTACTTCTTTAAGTACCAAACTCCAAAGCTCTTTCGCGCATAATCAATTGTAACTATTGAACACAAGCGCTTTCAATTTGACTCGTCGTTCTCTCACTACTTTCTTGGGTACCAAACTCCGAAGGCTTTCACTTGGCTGCAATCATCTTTCGAAAGTCTTGAACAAAACCCCCAAATCTACTAAAGATCTTGGAGGACAAACCCTAGGTTTGAAACCCCCCACAATTCTCAACTCAATATTCTCGATTACACAAAAACCTAATTGGACATTATCAAACTTCGCCTAGATGACACCCCGATAAAAGATGAAATGTGTGATTTATTAGTGTGTATGCATAGGTTGGAGGTTGAACGTGAAAAGTAATGGTGGTAAGTGTTTATAGTTTCATAGAGTTGGAATGATACATGAATGATGTATTTATAATTGTGAAAGTTTGTATGCAAACATGTAGTTTTTTGAATTAAAATGAATTGAAAAATTGACCCAATCAAATAGTATATGTCGGGCTCAAATATGTATGTTGCTGGAACATAAGTAAAAATTAACAGTATGTGTCGGCCTGAAAAGGCAGATAGGCCGACCTATACAAGTCAGTAGCTACAACCTTTAATACTGCAATAGATATGACCGTTTGAAAATCATATGTGTCGACACATAAAACTGAAAGTTATAATATGTGTCGGCATGTGTGATGCATGTGTCGGCTTGTATCAAACAGAAACTACAAACTTCATTATTGAGTTACATGTATTAGTCTGAAATTCGTATGTGTCAGCACATACAAGCAATTTTTATGCAGAAAATTGATTTTCAAGATTTTGGTCAATTTAAAAGTGTTTTTGAATGATTTCTAAGGCTTCTAATATAAAAAAGTGCCATGTGACATATAAAAATATCGTCAAATATATAGAAATGTTACATTTTCTTAATTTTGACATTATAAAAAACATTCAATGATAAAATTGCACTCATAATATGGATAGTTAAAAGAAATTTAAAGATCATTTTATTCCGATAACTTCTAATACTTTAAAGATCCATTCAATATTTTGTAGGGTCCTTTGAAGAAGAATCTCCCCAACCAGTCCTTCTGTCTCGATGTCGCTCAAATGTAAAAAAAGAATATAAAAATGCTGGATTTGGAGCCATTGTAGTTGAGAATCCAGAGGTTATGAACCTAATTTTATAGTTAATGAAATTCTGGCTGCAGATACTCAATGTCACGTTCAATGTTATGACACCGTATCTGACTTACTATATGACAGTAAATACAAAAGCAATAAAGAACACAGTCAATTGTTTACCCAGTTCAGTGTGCAACAACACCTACTCTGGGGGCTACCAAGCCAGGGAGGAAATCCACTATAAGAGATGTTAATTCAGGAATAAACCAACCAGTTTATCTCCTTCACTTAAGACCTACTGTTGGCTGAAGGTTTCGATAATATTATTTAGAAGCCAAAAGAGATAAACGTTCTGATCGAAATGGAATTAAACGCCATATTTCGAAGTAACAGAAGCAGTGTTTCGAATAAGGGTGTCAATGTGTGAAGCTTCGAACGACAATTATGGGAACATAGTTAAAGGAGTCTCGGAACAACAGCGAGGCTGTGTTTGGAAAGAACGCTCGAAATAGAGAGACACCAAAAACATTTAAAATTCAAATGGAAGCGGGACTTTCAAAGTTTGAAAGTTATGTGTTGGAGCATTTGGGGACACGTGGAAAGATGAAAGAAGCATTGTCTTGCATGTTCGAAACGTGGCATAATCCTGTAGCGAGGCCGTTAGGGTCGAATTAGTATAAATAGAAGTCTTAGTATTAGGATTTCGGTGTGTCATATCTGTTATACAAAATACTCAATAACATTCAAACTACCACATGGCAAGGGAAACGAATGCAAGAGAAATGTATGTATGATAGCACCATGTATTTCTAACTTAATGAAAGCCTTTTACCATTTCCAGTACTTTCCTCTTTTCTCTTTGTCAAATAACATTTGCAAGTTTTCCTATTTACAATCTTTTCATTTCGAAGTCTTTTCCTCAAAGTTCTACATTTTACTGTTTTCTTTATATTTCGAGCACTTTATATTTCAGAGAACTGTCACATTTTCAAAACCTTTACTTTCAAGTATTGTTCTTCAAGCGCATACTTTTACTTAAAATCATTTACAGATTTCTTGCATTAAACGCTTTTTGAATATTTTAAACTTCTACATTCCAGAAACCTTTTATGTTAAACGTTTTTTGTAAGTCGAAACCATTTACTTCATTTTTCATGCAGTTTTATATGTCTCTACAATCAGCATTACAATTAGCATTTATTCGTATAACTTAGTTTTCATATACATTTTGACTACATTTTTAGACTCTTAGAGAGAGGGATCGAAGTAAGCCAAACACTTATACAATAGCAACCATGAATAATTGTTCGATTGTGAGAGTAACCTTAATATCCAAGGAGTCCTAGGATCAATCTAGTCGATCCTGTGAGTTACCAGAGAGATTGAATAATAGTAAGAAAGATTATTCGATAGTTTGGAAGACTAGCGGTTGTTTACCAGAAATCACTGGAAACAAATTGGCACACCTGGTGGGACCAATAATTGGATATCAGAATTAAAGATTGTCGAGACGTAGCCATTACAAAAACGTAGGAACCTAAGAAGTTTGCTGTTTTATGAACCTGAGAAGTGGTAAGATAACCAACAGCAACCAACCTTTATCCAGAAGAAAACGTTTGGACAAAATGTCTAATTCAGACAATCAACAAGGAGATCAAGGTGGCCCACATGCAACAGGCACTAACGCGTCCCTTTCGAGCGGAACATCTAATGTAATCCCTTCGAATGCACAGTCTGTTGCATCTTCAACCAGTAACATAGCCACTAATGGAGTAAGTGGCATATCAACTAATAGTTCGATCTTAGGAAATACTGGAACCATGGGCTACCCTGGGGGATTCGTTCCACCATCAGGGACACAATCCCATTTCGCCACACCATTAACTAGACCACCCGGCTTCGATGGGAATAGAATTAGAAG